AAAAACTTTAATATAAGCTTAACATGACAGCAAATGTACAACGTAACTGTACCAACTTTTTACAGTGTAATTACGTTAGTTAATAAAACGTATAACAGACAAATTGTAACGCTATCTTAATCATCTATAACTGCATTACAATTTATTTAGTACATGTAACAAACAAGTCCATCAGTGGGTCAACGGTAAAATCCATGGTTCGATTTCTCATGGTGAACATTGCGCAGATAGCCCATTTTATAGGTTTGCTCTAAAAAGTAAACAAATAAAAACAACATAACTAACAAGGCATTTTTTACTGTAGCTAATGGCACAATAATGAAAAAATAACTTGTATCAGGGGAAATCAGTGAAATATAGTGATATACCCCTTTGGTCGGACACCCTAACAGTGGGGTACACACACACACACATATATATACCAATTTTAATAGAAACGCTACTGAATAAACAAATTGTTTTTTATGTTTTTGGGCCCACTTTGTCCTGAGCCAAAGTTCACTGCACATCGTTGAACCCGTCTAATAGACCCGTGTTCACTATACCTAGGAAGGTTGAACTCTCGGTTTGAAACAATTATGTACAACTTCTGAATAATTACAAAGTACTATTATAAAAAAAAATATATATTTATTACCAATCTTCTGCCACCGAAATATAATTCTACAAAAATTGTGCTCAAGGTAATTCTAATAGTTAAGTTAAAGAAGTAGGGGAATATCTTCATAATCATAGCTAGTTATGTCGTTACTAAACTAGTCCTAAACCCCTTTATTACTAATATTACTATTTGAGGGAAGAATAACAATGACTATCCCTCGAGAAAGAAGAGTATAATTGTGTTTGAAAATGAAAGTATGCGAGAATAAAGTATATGAAGTGAGAATAACTTAGTGGAGTTGTGGTAATACGTTTTTTTTTTATATATATATAACTAACCGTTTGAAATATTTTCATCGACAACATTTTTGCACATTAGCGTGTAGGTAGTATACGCATGCACGCATGTGTTGCTATTCATTTAATGGAGTTTTTCAAAGGAGTTTGTTTTGGTTTGGGTTTTGGAAATTCTATATTTATATGATGCCTTTCCCCCTTTGGATTACAGTTTAAAGTTTTGACTAAGGCAAGTAAAAAGGTTATGAAATTGTTACATATTTTTAGAACGGATAATCCGAATTTTAATGAACGTGTTTATGCATAATCAGTTTACCATTTGTTCGTTAAGCCTAAGTAAGTGATTAAGTCAAGTACTCAAGTGCGTAGACTGGGTAGAAAAATGTAAGTGATGGAAAACCATGTTTTCGTTGTTACTATGTGCGGCGCATAAGTTATTCATGCTTAGCGGCATGTGGTAAAGCAACCCAAATGTCGGGTTTAGTGGTAAAACTAAAAGTTGATGATAAAAAGAAAATATTTAAGTTAAACGTAAGAAAGCAGCACATAACATTAAACATCTTGCAAGTTACAGTGTTCCCAGCTTCCGAGTTACGTTTTCATTTGTTTGAAGGGTTTGATGAATAACATTATAATGACGTAGTCTCATTTTGTTTTATTATTATTAAAGGTTTCATTTTGTTGTTTTGACTTAGTAATGCCAATGTTCAAATGGTTAGTGCCACTTAATTCAGCACTAACAGTAACAGACTGAAGTTAAAAATTGGACATATACCTATATGTTATAGCTTAAGAAATCTCATAGTTTATGTTTGGACAGTTTTGATGACTGTAAAAAAATTATAGTAATAGTGATAACATTATACATGAACTGTTTTAATAGAATGGAAACAGTTGTAACAGAAGAAGTACCTTGCTGATTGGTGTAAATCTCATTAATAATAATAATTGAAGTCACTTTCTCTGTTTAAAGAAGAAATAAATATTTATGGTGAGTCTACAAGTTGGTATGAAATAATTTGTTACATTGAGCGTTTGTTGAACTAATATTTTTGTATTTCTTATTAGATGGATAATAAAACAAGCGAGGCAGTTCCTAGTAAATATCGCCGGTATTTCCATACAGAAAATGTTCATACCAAAACCTTCACTCCAAGAGAGTACCAGGTATGTTGTTCAAAAGCAAGGTGAAATTATGGTGCATCTTAGATGTAGGGTGTTTATTATATAAAATATTTCATTTGTAGTCCAAATATAAAGGACTATTAGAACTCTTAATATATTTTTTAATTAAGTTAGAAACCAGCAGTATCCAACAGATTTATTAAGTTTCACTGGTAAGGAGAAACTGATACTAATTTTCTAAACACTTTTTTAAAGTAAATATTTGTGTTTTTATATTATGTCAAAAGAAACAGATGTTTTATTATGAGCCCAAGCATAATTATTCAGTTATTTTTTTAAAGAAAAGATCAGACTCAAAGCCAGGTTTTATCATTACAATATTTATTAAGTTTTCCCTTAAATTAATTGTATTCATCACAGCTAAAAGCAACCCAATCCAAAGGCCACACACTCTGTTAGAAAAATGTCTTAGCTGAAGATTACTTCTGCTCTGCCAAAAGTTACGAGTGCATCAACTATCCCTTCTGTTCTTACAGTTAAGTACAAAAAGAATAGATGCTGGGCAATTCAATCGTAACTAGATTAAGAGATTTATGGAAAAAACTGCGGATGAGGGAAGGTAACTGGCTGGCAGCACCTATTGTTAACTTTCTGGCTACTTAAGTGTTAAATAAAGTGTACATGTTCTTGTTTGTTTTTACATTGTTTTATGTTTCTAACATAAAATTGGGTAACTGTAGTTTTTAATGTATAAGCAGATGCATTTCTAAGGGGAGGGGTTCAGCAAGTCTGGACCCCTCTTCCATTTTTTTTTCCAGAAATTAATGACTGTATTCTGTGTTTTATAAACAAGTCTCTGGGGCGCATGCCCCATATTTGTTTTCAGGAATTAATTATTATTTAATGTATAAGCAGGATTAGATCTAGAGGAGTGGTTTTGGGGGAGAAAACCCCTCCACCCACTTGTTTTCAGAAATTTATAATTGTAAGGGTATTATTATGTTGTATAAATAGGTGTAGATCAAGAAGATATCACCCCCTTCATTTTTTTCACAAATTAATAAAAAAAAACAGTCAGCCATTATTACCACACAACATAAAAAAGAAACATTTGATGTCAGGGTTTTAACATAGCATAATGTTTAGGGACCTATTGGTCCATCTTGGCTGTCCCATCCTCTAAACTAAACTAAAACTATCAAATAAATAAATAAAAAAATAATGATAATATAATATAAACAATCTTAAATTTGTATTTGGTGAGGATATAAATTACTATAAAAGCCTTTTTGAGGTTTTCTGAAATCAACATAGCTTAGAGGTCTGCATGGGTAAATATTTTATAAGTATATATGGCCCAGCCCAGTAGTTATCTGGCCCGAGCCCATGTAGTACTCGATTTTCTTCACACTAAAATTGACTCAGCAACACTGGCTGACTGTGGCCTGTTTTTATGTTCCAACCTGCCGAGATAGAAAATAAAAAAAGGTAATAATATAAATCCTAACATGTGCACTTATCAACATTATAGTTACTATCTTGCATAAAGATTACAAAACCTCAAATAACTATTGTTTGGCTGCAGCTGAAGGTGTAAGTTACTATTTTTCAAAGATTAAACCTTGAAAAAATTGAACAAAAAACCCGAGTAAATCTGAATTATTACAAATAAGTTTCCCAAAAGTTACCTCGCCTAAGCTTGATCCAGCCCAAACCCAGATCTTTTTTGGCCAAAGCCTGAACTGTGTACTGTGTTAGCCCAAGGCCCAAGCTTGTGCAGAATTTTAACACAGTTGGAGTCTACAATACTCTGGTTAAGGCCTCGGCCAATAACTGATTATTTCTAAGCTAATACAACAATATGTTGTTGCAATGGTAAATTTTCATGCCTTAGTTTTTTCCAGACACACTAACAATGTGTCTAGAGTTTTAGAGATTTGTTTTAATCAAAGTTGATGTCGTTTAGGATCCCCTGCAGCTCTTGTAACTTACACTCTTTATAGAATCAATTTTTCATTGTTTGAAAGTTAGAATTCTCATGAGAAAGATGGTTTTCACACTGCTGATGTTTAAAATAAGTGAGAAATGACTGTACAAGTAATGACTTTTTAAACAGTTTTGAACACAGTTTTCCAGGGATATAATTTTTTGCTTACAGCATTATAAATAATTATAATTCTTTAATTTAAATTAAGAGGTTTGAAATGTTTGTTTCTGATTGTTTTTAATTGTATATCAATCGTATTACTAGAAATAAAGATATAAGCTTTGAAATCACTGGATTATAACCTAATCATTTACAGAATATATAACGTTATGTTAACTTTTGTTAAGGTAACTTAGGATCATACGGTCAACACTGATTAAACCAAAATATCATATAATTATAGTGGAAGTCTCTTCTTTCATATACTGAAAATTTGGTTACAGTATTAAACAGTTAACTTGTATCCAACTTAAACAATGTTGTTACTTATTATTTCATTATATGTTACAGCTTTTACGGTAAGGAAGAATATTTTTAAAAACATGTATGACTGTAACAGCTGTAACGTGTAATGAAATATCACTTATAATCATTAAGTGAACTCAAAATGAAACTATTAATTGTTGTTACTTGTTAGCATGGTAATAATATATTATCTGAATAGAATTTCTAGTTTTACACTTCTTCATTCCCTAATGATTTTTAAACTTTGTAAGATAAAGTTATAACCATCAAAAGTTTTATTTTACAAAATTCAGTGATCTTATTTTAATTTTCATGTTGTTTGACTTTAAATCTAGGCTACTTGAATAATATAAAAATATATTTTGTTTTTACATTGTCTAAATACTTATTTGATTAATAAATAAAATCATTTATAATTTTTCATTTTCCTTGGTTGGTTACAAGCCATTTGAGTAACTGTGTAGCTATATATATTTTAGAATTGGTATTTTTTTCATTTTCTGACATGAAGAAAACAACAATCATATTTTCATTTCTGCACAGCTGCTGTAAACAAAACAATCCACTTTTCAGTTTTTTTGCTCATCCTAAAGAACAACTTTATTTTTGCCAAGAATCCTTCAGAATATGTTATCCATTTCTTGATTTTCAAGGATATCCCTTATTTTATACAACCCTTGGTTGAAATCTTGTTATGATGCCCCATTGTTTCATCATTTAATGAAACAGCTTTGAAAAACCACTGTAATGAAAGTTTAAATATGATTAGGTGGAGCAAGAATTAGACTAAATATAAAGAGGTTTAAGGGTTGTTTTTTTTTATAGTTTCTGTGAACGTTCAGTTTCATTCATTTGTGAATTGTGAAAGTATTTGTGTATTAAATCATATCTGTTTGAAAGCTACAGAAATTGTCTTCAGTGAGAAGACATAAGATAACTTGAGGTATGGTAAGCTGGTAGGCTTATAGTTTAGAAACAGGTTGAATTGGTAAGAACAAAAACTTTATTAAAAGCTTAACAAGGTAACAAAAGTACAATGTTAGATAATCTTCCCCTTCCTTCTTTCTTTTGTTATTAAACCCCGATGGCCTCGTTAGATTTCAGATGCTTGTTCTGTTTTGTTGAAGGAAATAACTGACTCGTTTAACTAAATGTATCTTTAAATCAAAAGCCAAAAGTAAAACTAAAAGTATAATTGTGCTGTGTTTCAGAATCACCTTTTATTGCCCTTCTCGGGCAAAAATCCTTAAACAAAGTAGCCCATGTACACTGTTGGACAATGTCCAGTAATTGAGCTAGCCAACTCTGGGTGATGCAAGCCAAAAATCTATACAAAAGTGGAAATGAGTCCTATTTCAGGATCTTTTTTTTTTTTAGCAAAAATTCTTAAACCAAATAGCTTGTCTATATTGTTGGACAGTTTACAGTTACAATACCAAAACATGGTAATTGAGCAGCCAACTTATGATGATGCAAGCCAAAAACTTTATTAAAAAAAAAAAAGAGTAGAAATGTGGCCTATTTCATGTACTTTTTTTTTTATCCTCCTCCTCAGGCAAAAATGCTAAAACAAAGTAGCCCATGTACATCATCTGATAGTTTCTAGTTACAATTACCAAAAATTATGGTAATTGAGCCAGCTAATTGTGGGTAATGGATGCTAAAACACAGATTTAATAACACACAATGGATCATCTTTATAGTAAGATATTTGAAAGTAATTTGTTATCTGACAGGGTTTGGCCACTTAAGGAGGTTTAGGTTAGCCCTAAATCCATGTGAGAAGCAATGAAATAATCCTTACAATAAAAATATTACACATTTTTAACTGATAATGGAAACTAACAGTAAAGAAAGAAATACATGAAAACTATCACTGATTCTGTTGAAAAGTGTATTTCCAGTATATGAAAAAATTAACGTTCTATGCACATCTATAAATCATGTTCACATATATATATATATAAAAGCTTATGTGTCGTTCCAGGTGGAGCTTCTTGATGCAGCTCGTCAAAGAAATACGATTGCCTGTTTGGGAACAGGAACAGGAAAAACATTCATAGCAGTCATGTTGATTAAGGAACTTGCTCATGAAGTGAGGAAACCATACGATGAGGATGGGAAAAGGACATTTTTCGTGGTGCCTACAGGTGAGATGTATTTACAAATTTTATTAAGGGTGACCATAGTTAGAGGTACACTTTGTGCCTTTAGAGATTAGTTTTAAAACAAATTCTTTCACCATAAGCTAAACTCCTTACTGAGACAAACTTAAGTGTTTTTGTTTCCCTAAATTATAACATTTTGGAATTTGACAAAATATATAGATTTGTGATATTTCACTCAATTCACATTCTTATTTAACTACACAAAATTGTATATTTGACCACTACGATATGCTCTTTCTGAAAGTATTTTAAGACCAAAAACCATCTCCAGCAGTGATGCTACTCTGAGTATTTTCAAAAGTTTAATAAATTAATCTTCTGTGTTTTTAGACTTGTTAACAGTATTCTCAGAGCTTAACAAAAAATTGAACGTATTAACAAAATTTTGGAACATTTCGAAGCAAACTTACTCGAAACTCAAATAAAAACAAAACATATACAAACTTATTGCACGTACATTTTTTTAAAACATGAAAATGTAACATTTTATATTAGCATAAAATGATATAAACAAGTACTCTGAAAATTGACTAAAATAACTTTGAGCTACAGCATTATATGAATATTATGATTTAAAAATTTTGCAGTAGAAAAAGTTTTTTGTTAAATTTTAACAACACGTACACACAGAAATTAACATGCATCAATATGAGTTGCTTTTAGTAGGCTTTACGCCAACAATAGTTCATTATTTCTGTTGCTCACTGCTGGTGTGGATTCTCCTATTTGGCTCCAATATTTCTAAATTATTCACATGCATTGCTTGTATCCAGGATGGATGAATCTTTTGAGCCTAATCTTTTGGTTTGTTAGGGTCTAGTAGCCTCCAGTTTAGAGAAACACACAAACATTAGAGTCAGTAGGTATTTTAACAGTGATTTGTATGAATGTTATTGTGAGTTTGTTTTAAGGTATTCGTAATAAAAAATGTATATTTTTACAGTGCCATTAGTGTTACAACAGAAAGAAAGGATACAAGATTACACAGACCTTGCTATTGGTTTCTTTTTTGGTGATATGAAAGTGGATTTGTGGTGTGCAGAAGACTGGAAAAGCAATTTTCAAAAATATAACGTGTTAGTGATGACTCCAGATATTTTGAAAACCATCTTACTTCACGGCTTTTTGCCACTGTCAAAAATAAACCTGCTTATTATTGACGAATGTCATAGAGCAGTAAAAAATCATTCTTATCGAGAAATCATGCTGTGTTTTGATACCTGTCCTCAGAAAAACCAGCCTAGAGTACTTGGTTTGACTGCTTCAATTTTGAACAACAAGTGTAAACCTAATCAGTTAGAAAGCAAAATAAGAAATTTAGAGCTGACCTTAAGAAGTAAAGCAGAAACAGCAAGTGACCTTACCTACCTGACTAAATATGGAAACAAACCAAAAGAGGATGTTGTAGTTTACAAACCATTGCATTTTTCACAAGACAATGAAATGCTTGGACTACTGGAATGTGCCTTGTCCTTTATTGTTGGTACAAATATTAGTGTTAAAAGTGAGTTTGCTGACTTTCCACATCCTTGTCATATGCCTAAACAGTATTTAAATGAAATTTGTAATGTGATTATGAATCTAGGACCCTGGTGTGGAAAAAAGGCTGCAGAAATATATATTGCTGAAATGGATTGCAAAATTGAACAGTTATACTCGGACGACCATCGTAATTTCTTAATAATGACCAGAACTGTGCTTGAAGTAGTTTCTCGTCAATGTGAAGATCTGTGCATTGGGAGTGATGGAAAGAAATTGGATGTCTTAGAGAATGCACCTCATAAGTTGAGAAAACTTTTAGAGATCTTGTCCAAGTACAGAATTACTTCAAAGGTAGATTGTGACAGTGACAGAACTAACAACATTTCTGGTTTGGAAACTGTTAAAATGTCAACTGATGAGCCTGACTACCTTTGTGGAATTATTTTTGTTAGACAGCGTAGTACTGCTCATTTACTTAGCATGTGGCTGACAGAGGTGAGCAGATCGTATCCCGAGTACAGCTTTATAGTTCCCGATTTTGTAGCTGGTCATAACTCAGCAAACACAGATAAAATTTGCAAAGACACATCCATGGCTGTTTGCCATCAGGGAGAAATCCTGAAAAGGTTCAGAGATCGTGAGTGTAATCTCCTCGTGGCAACAGCTGTGATTGAAGAAGGGATGGATGTGCCTAAATGCAACTTGGTTGTGAGATTTGATGAGCCCCCAGATTATCGTTCGTATGTGCAGTCAAAAGGTCGTGCAAGAGCACCCAATTCTTCGTTTAAACTCATGGTGTCGACTCAACAGAAGAATAAGTTTTTAGAGACACTTCGTGATTTTCATATTATTGAACAGGTATGTTTACTTTAGTGTTGAACAGGTATGTTTACTGTAGTGTTGTTCGTGATTTTCATATTATTGAACAGGTATGTTTACTTTAGTGTAGCATAATAAAATTTTTAATACTTTTTCTGCACATGGAACTAACCAAGTGTTATAGAAGCTTAAACACTGTATAAGAAGATAGCTTTGATATTAAGTTTTAAGATATTATTAACACAATCTGTAATGATACTTCTGTAATATGAAATATTGTGGTCTTCCTTTATATAAATAGTATTCAACAAGAGGTTTATTTCAGTAATAACAGTGTTTATTGTTAAAAAATATTACTTTCATCAAAAATTCAGAAGTGTATTTTGACCCATATATTTAAATATCCCATAAGCATCACTAAAGAAGACAGTGGTTTTGTGTCTTGTAATTTTATGATAAGAGTTATAAAAGTCAGATTGTATTGAAAAGACTCTGATGCAGGAATTTTCATGGTTAAATGTAGAGTTGAGTTTGATTTATAACCAAGATATTTTTATATATCCTAACATTATATATATATATTTCTCTACCTGGATTTACACATAACCAAACCAGTTCATATTAGGTGCTCACGTTTACATTATGTATATTTCTCTTCCTGGATTTACACATAACCAAACCAGTTCATATTAGGTGCTCACGTTTACATTATATATATTTCTCTACCTGGATTTACACTTAACCAAACCAGATCATATTAGGTGCTCACGTTTACATTATGTATATTTCTCTTCCTGGATTTACACATAACCAAACCAGTTCATATTAGGTGCTCACGTTTACATTATATATATTTCTCTACCTGGATTTACACTTAACCAAACCAGATCATATTAGGTGCTCACGTTTACATTATATATATTTCTCTACCTGGATTTACACATAACCAAACCAGTTCATATTAGGTGCTCACGTTTACATTATATATATTTCTCTACCTGGATTTACACATAACCAAACCAGTTCATATTAGGTGCTCACGTTTACATTATATATATATTTCTCTACCTTGATTTACACATAACCAAACCAGTTCATATTAGGTGCTCACAGTTTATATATATTTCTCTACCTGTGTTTATACATAACCAAACCAGTTCATATTAGGTGCTCACAGTTTATATATATTTCTCTACCTGTGTTTATACATAACCAAACCAGTTCATATTAGGTGCTCACAGTTTACATTTCTTAGAAATCTTATTTCAATATTACTAAATTAATTTCAAAACTTTTGGGAGAAGAGGTCCATTACAATAATTGTATCTGCATTGTAATCATTATTATAAACTTACACAAATGTACATTGAGTTAAAGTCTTTAATATTGCAATATTTCACACAAGAAGTTTGTAGAGTTTAAGAAGAACGTGATGTCTAAATGGTTAGTAATGGATGATAAAATATTTACTTGAATGAGAACAGTACATTTGTTAAACAAGATTCGGATAGCATAAGATGAAAGATTATTTTTTAAGTATAATTTACAAATATCTCTAGAACTGCTATTAAAACTGTGCAATTGCAAAACACAAAGCTTAAAAAATTCTTGTAGGAGAACAGGTTTATGATCTTTAGAACTTCTTATATTATACAAAAATAGAATCAGTTTGTGTATGCATATCAAGATCTAGGTATTTCTCAATAGCTTGTACTGAGTAAATGCCATGGAAGAGAATGTCCTGATGATGAAGAGATTGATGAACAGATTATCAACAAAATTAAAGAGCCATACATGCCTGTGAAAAAAGAAGGAGCAGCACGTGTAACCTTGAGTTCGGCCATTTCTCTTGTCAACAGGTTAGACAACAGTATAAAATATAATTATTAGTATTAGTAATGTGCATATTGTGCTTGCTGTTCCTGTCTTTTGTGAACCAATGAGGAATGGGATCTATGTCTATGCCATGATTGTGATATTCACTTGACTATAACAAAACTATATGCAACTGATGTACTGCTGTTATTAAAATAAGTATTCATTACTTTCTGTCTTATGTTTATACAAAACATAAGATATTATCTTGTGACATGTTTACACATATAAATAAGAATGTTAAACATCCATAAATGTCAAATATCAAAAGAGCTAAGATTTGTTTAAACAAGTTCACTGAAAAACGTGATAGACAAACTGGAAAAGACTGAAGTTTTGTTAATATTTCTTTGTGTATCATATGTATGAAAAATAAATGTGATTTTACAACTTGTAGTTCTGTTGCATTCAAGTTTGATTTTTTGTGGGAAAGAAGAATCAGATATGAAAAAAAATGTCTAGGTTATTTCTTGTCAAGCTGAGATGCACATTTTTAATTACAAGAAGTAACTTTCATTTTTTGAAGATTTAACTAGTGATTAATAGCCTCTTGGATTTGTAATTTTAAGTTACAATATTGTAGAAATTTCATAGCAGTTATTATCAAGCAGTCACACTCATAATGAAAAAAAATATCCATTTCTCAATCAAACTGAATTAGCCATTTAGTTCTCACCTGGTTAGGGTTAATGATCAAATTTTAAAATAAAGATTTGCAGAAGTTCTTAATTAGAAATCCCACTGTAAGCAGGTGGATTAAAAGAAATACCGAATGTGATTTTTGGTCTTGTGATGATAAATGTTTCTAATTTACCAGATATTGTGCAAAATTACCGAGTGACACTTTTACTCGGCTAACTCCAGAGTGTCAAATAGTGGATGTAAGTGCTGATGACAAGAGCCCAGGAAACAAGCAGAATTACTACCAAGCTACAATTTACCTTCCAATTAACTCTCCATTAAAGGAACCGACTATAGTAAGTACATTATGTTTTAACCCTAGAATTACTGATATGGTTCATATGCCCCCCCCCCCTCCATTGGCTTTTTAAACACATTTTTATGTATCAAATTTCTTGTAGTTTAGAGGGTGTCAAATAACACGAGTCACGCAAGAAAGTAAAGCAAAAAACATCAATAAACATATGCTCCCCAGTGACTCTGCTGTAATTTTAAATGCTTATAATGTTAAAAACTGGATTATGATACCTGGTGGGCATAGCACATATAGCCCATTGTGTAGTTTTGTGCTTAACAACAAAACAAACAAATCAATGAATGACATTAACTATTGTGAGATGACAAATTCTATGATTGTGATTATCGTTCATTTACTATTTCCTTCTATCGTTTAGTTTATCTATGAATTTTAGTTGCATTAAAATGCTAACTCACCTTCTACATAATCATTTGTATTTTGAGTAAATATATATGTGTATATGATGAAACTGATACCAGCTTCTCTAGTGGTGACGTACAGATACTATTAACGTAGCAGAAGAGTATGTAAATGTATGGTCACATGAGGTTGTACTCTCGTGACCTGCTCTGTGAATAAATACCCTGTCAGAAGCTTCACTAAGAGAGAGAGAGAGAGATAGTTATTGAAGGATATATATATAGTTATTGCTGTTTGCCACTTGATACTGTGAATAAATACCCTGTCAGAAGCGTCACTAAGAGAGAGAGAGTTATTGAAGGATATTTATATAGTTATTGCTGTTTGCCACTTGATACTGTGAATAAATACCCTGTCAGAAGCTTCACTAAGAGAGAGAGAGAGAGAGTTATTGAAGGATATTTATATATATATTTATTGCTGTTTGCCACTTGATACCATTATTGATATTGAAAGGTATCGTATGAATATTGTATTTGATGTATTTTTTTGGAATTAGGATTTTTCTTTCTGGTTCTTTCTTTTCCTGATTTCATTATTATTGATTTATTAATATTTTTGATAAATTGTTTATTAATATTGGTGTGAAGTCCTGGCCAGGCACTCGTTTAATAACTGTGATAAATGTTGAATTTAATTCCAAGTGTTGTTATTGTGAATAAATTGTTTTTTTATTTTTTAACGTTAACTGTAGTGGTGTGTTCATTTTAGTTCGTTACATCACTGCTGGGGTGTCCTTTGTATTTTCAGTAGAAAGTAAGTTATTGTTATTTGTGTTGGTCAGTGTATTAAAAACCAGAATTACTAATTTTGTATGTCACTATCTTTCTCAGATAAACTAACTTTATTATCACTTTAATTTATGTCCTCCATGTGACCTTTGTTACCTTTAAAATGACCTTCAAGGTCAAAATTGAGGACATGTTTTTTTTCATCCTCTGACTAACTTATCTAGCATGGAGGAATTTAACTTTGCTTGAGAAATTTCATCTTTTCATTTGTCTTTCCCGATCGAGAATGCATGGTCCATCCGTGTTCATTTAGTTATGACCAGTGAAAGTGAACATATTGCATGGATTAAATATAAAAAAAAACAATTTAAGAGGAAATGCAGCTTTACTTGAGGGAATGTAATCTTTCTGATAGCTTCTCTCGAATTAATGTAATTTTATTTCATTATTTCTAACCCTGATGGATCCTTACTTTTAACAATTGATGTCATCAAGTTTTTGTCTAGAGGACTTTCTTGTACATTGGTAGTTTACTACTTTTTTACATAACTTTCTCTACACTTTTATTTAATGTTTTATGCTACTTAGTCTTGAGTCAACCAGCTTGGCCTACAATTTACAAAAATATGAATAAATTTATTTATTGGACTTTATAATTGTTTTTAATAATGATCGTCTCTAACTGAGTTCCCATAATCATTCCCTTCCACCACCATCAAACTTTAATGGTTAAAAAAAATCTTTTATGAGCAAGTTTGAAACGTATGGCACAATTAAATGTTAATGAATTAATTTCTCAATAGGCCTATGTGAATGTGATATATATTGATGATCCCTGAATTGAAGAATATGCCTTTACAGTTTATATAAAACTAATAACTTATGAATGAAAGCAAAGAAGAATATGTTCTAATATGCACACTTCAAAGCTGCGGTTGTAATTGGCAACCTGAAATGTTTAAGTTTAATATTTATTTATTGTTTCTCAGGGAGACAAAATGCAAAGCAAACACTTAGCAAAGATGGCTGCAGCCTTAGAAACATGCAGGAGACTCCATGAAATTGGTAAGTTTTGAATCTGAGTTTCAAATGGCATTAGTTTATACTTAATTAGTAATGCTTCAGACTAGCAGATAAGTTGTGATTTTTGCAAAGAAAATATCAGAATAACTTGCATGTAATTACATTTACATTATTTTTATCAAATAAATAATAATTATCTTACATTGATATAAATCTTTATAGGCAGATTTTTTTAGGCTTTGCAATTTTTATTAAAGTGAAAAAATTAAATTGTTAAAATGTAAACTACTTTAAAATCCTTCTGAGGTGACTGCGTGCCTTACAAAAATTTTTCAATGCCTTCATTCTCTAGTTTATTGTTTATTTGTAAAGGAAATGTCACAGGAGCTTCAATTTGATCATAAAAAAAAGAAATAAATAAGCCAATAATTGATATGTTAGTAGCAAAAATCATTTACTAAAATAGCATCTTTAATCTCTGGAACTTCATTATGGAGTGTTAATTTGATCCACTATTACTTTAGAATACTTTCAGAGAGAAAAATGGTCCTGTAATAATTCTGTATTGGTCCAAAATGCCTGACCAAACAAGAAATATCTTTAGGCTTAATAAGTGTGATAAAAATCATATTTGAATTTAGTGTTAGATCTTTATAGTAAAGTTGGTTTCATTATGCTTTTTATTTGTCCAATTGAAGGGGATAATTTATTAGATGGGGAAACCCAAATATTTCCATAAACTTCTGAAAAACTTCAGCTTCCCTTGGGTAACTAAAAAGAAATTCTAAACCAAAATTTTTTCACTTCTTCGTTGAAACTACCTGAGTTGATAAAAGAAAGAAATGAAGCAACATGGTGTACGATTTATTTTCTTTTGCACAAGAGAAGTTTAAGTTTTTCCAGAAGTTAATTTGTTTTTTAATATGTATGTATCTATATATGTATGTGTATCTTAACCTGGCAGATCACTATTTTTACTTTTATTTGTTAAATAATTTTCAACTGAAATGTAAGGAAATTAATTTGGTTATCAGAAAATATGTTTTTTAAAAAGCTACAGAAACACTATTGTTTGTTAAATCTATATTTTTATATAAATTAAAGTGAACTGCATTCATGGTATTTCAAGTATTGCTGGATTCTAAGAAATTATTTGTAATGGACTCATCAACTTGAGTGTATTTAAGACAACTTTCTAATAGTTTCATGAATTAGTTTTCCTGAAATATTTTAATAAATGAAATTATACAGTATCTAATGTAATACTGAAAAAATATTTTAGTAAAATAGAGAACAAACAAAAGGCAACCACACACACAAACACCTAAAAGACTAAATGTGCTTTGGATGCAATAAATTTGATGTATTAAAAACTTTGGAATTTTGGCTAACGATAGATGTTATTATTTCATGTTTGTTTTTATAAAACACTCAGAACTTAATTTCTGATTGAGATATATTTTATCTATATATTTTTCATATATTTTATCTACATTACAGCTGGGTGACAAAATTTAACTATCTAAGTATTTGAAATATTGCCTTTATGTTTGTTTATTGTTTAGCACAAATCTACACAATGGGCTATGTATGCTCTGCTAATGTGGGTAGGCTCGGCATGGCCAGGTGGTTAGGGCGCTAGATTCACAATCTGAGGGTCGTGGGTTCGAATCCCCATCACACCAAACATGCTCACTCTTTCAGCCATGGGGGCATTATAATGTGATGATCAATCCCATTATTCATTGTTAAAAGAGTAGCCCAAGAGTTGGAAGTGGGTGGTGATGACTAGCTGCCTTCCCTCTAGTCTTACATTGCTAATGTTGGGATGGCTAGCACAGATAGCCCTCATGTAGCTTTGGGCGAAATTCACAAACAAACACTGTGGGTTTCGAAACTCAATTTTTTGGCATTATAAGTGTTGTTTTTTTAGCCATCATGGATTAGTGGAATGTAATCAGTTACATATTCCACTAATTGCCTCGCCATAATCTGTATTATACAGTAACATGACATTTTTTTTTTTTTGTTGCAATTCTAAAACGTCCAAAAAAAGAAAGGTAAGGATTCTTGAATAAAGAAAATTAGAATCATTAGTCTATATGAAAATAAACAAATTTTGTATATATATATTTTATGATGTTTATATTTTCAGGAGAACTTGATGACAACCTTCTTCCTGTTGGCAAGGAGGCCATAAAATTTGATGAACTTCTAGAAGAAGATGAAGAACATGTTTCTCCTGGCTCAGCAAGGCCAGGCACAACAAAAAGAAGACAGTTCTATTATAAAAAGGTATATAGTACGTCACACAGGCCTTTGTTAACGTTTTTGTTTGTACTTTTAGTACATGTAGTTTTGATTTAAGGTTTCAAGTACTATGAAGATTTAAGGTAAACCAATTAACTTATGTTTTTTACAGATGAAACTGTGTTTACAAAATGTACGATATAATAACATTCTTCCCTATCTAATGTTGCTAGATGTTTTTTATTTTTCATTTGTTTAAATGTTTTTCAGTAAACGTTTTTTTTTGTCAAGAGTATCGTGCTTGACTAGCTGAAAGGATCTTGTATTATATTATCATTGGTATTGAAATATAAAATGTTGTAAGAAAAACAAAATGCAGAGTTGTCCATTCATCAATTTGTCTGGTGTTGCGTGTTGTTTTTAGGAACTGATTTAATCAGTTTCTGTGTATTTTATTAAGTTTTCTATAATATTGTCTTAAAAGATCTCGTGTTATTAGTCATGTCTGGTTCGAGTATTAAACAAATAGCTTAGACTTGAAAATTTATTTTGTTTTGACTGATGACTTTTTATAGATGTTAGATGAAATAAAGCTCATCTACAGAAATTCAGAGAACACAATTTTGGAGACCAGGGGTCACTGAGACATTATACCAACCATACATATGACAGTTTGAAAAAGGCATGGTTTGCATGATCTTCTTATTCATCAAAGATAGCCAATTAAATTATTTGTTTATGAGTGAAAAATTTAATTTTTTACAGTGAATTTTGAGATTTAATTATGTTTGTTAATTTGGAAACCATTATCTTACTTTTAGATAGCAGATGTGCTACGGAAGAGCTACCCAGTTCCTGGGGTAAGCTGTATTCTCTACAGATTCAGGATGAAACTGACTTGTCCAATTCCAGAGCAGCAGAACACCAGAGGACGAAACATTCCTGACCCTGCAGATACAAGTCGAGGGTTTGGAATCTTGACCACTAAAGAGATACCTTCTGTAAGAACCTTTTTTTGTTTTTGCTAATTGGACCATTGTATTATGATAATGCTGCATACAAGGTCATTTTACCCATGTTTGAATAAGATTGAGTCGTAAATACTTGAAAGTTTGGCAGGTTTCTTTTTTGTGAGGTAAGTTGAGTGGTCGACACCAGTGGCTTTTTTTTTATTTGACCCCAGTGGTTTTACAGAATAAAAAAGGTAAACTGATAGAAGGCATGATAGAAGTGAACAATTAATAATAGATAAATCTATTTCATAAAAGTGTACTATGTTACCAGTTTATGTTATGGAGTAAATAATGTGTCAACAGAACTTGAACAAGTTAGCTAGACACAGGGGCATTCTATGTTTGGGATAAATCTATTTCATAAAAGTGTACTATGTTACCAGTTTATGTTATGTAGTAAATAGTGTGTCAACAGAACTTGAACAAGTTAGCTAGACACAGGGGCATTCTATGTTGGGATAAATCTATTTCATAAAAGTGTACTATGTTACCAGTTTATGTTATGGAGTAAATAGTGTGTCAACAGAACTTGAACAAGTTAGCTAGACACAGGGGCATTCTATGTTGGGATAAATCTATTTCATAAAAGTATACTATGTTACCAGTTTATGTTATGGAGTAAATAGTGTGTCAACAGAACTTGAACAAGTTAGCTAGACACAGGGGCATTCTATGTTTGGGGAAAAAATAAGTGGATGTTGTCCATGGAAGCTGAAAGATTTTAAGCTTCTTTAAAATGAAATCTTCTAATATGTTAAATTGAAACTAATATTTTTTTTTGCCTGGTAATTAGTTCAAGAAAAGAGTAAAGGCTGAATGAAAAATTTTTATAATAGATAAAAAAAAATTATAACTTTTATAAATCTTGAAGATAAAACAGTTAGCTTTACCCTTAATGAAAGTTCTTGAAAATCAATTTAACTTAGTTTGAGCTTTACACATTGTAAATATGAATTACTTACTAAGGTCGGCCAGGTGGTTAGGGCGCTCGACTTGCAGTGTGCAGGTCGCGGATTTGAATCCCCGTCACACCAAACATGCCCGCCCTTTCACCCATAGGGGCATTATAATGTGACAGTCAATCCCACTATTCGTTGGTAAAAGAGTAGCCCAAGAGTTGGCGGTGATGACTAGCTGCCTTCCCTCTAGTCTTACACCACTAAATTAGGGATAACTAGCGCAGATAGCCCTTGTTTAGCTTTGCGCAAAATTCATAATAAAGAAACAAACCTTACTAAGGTTTTCCTAAAGACTGCTGTATTAATGATTCTCAACACAAGGGGGCAGTAAAGCAAAAATCTAGTTAATTATTATTAGTTGCTGGTGTTTTTAAGAGTATGACCAACATCTAATTAAAGTTACAGCAGTTCACATGATTATTTTTACCAGTAACAGTTTTTAAATGGTGGGCGACTTCCTTCTTATTCTACAGCTATTGGTCAAGCCGATGTAAACAAGTATGAACCAACTGTAATATGTTAAAGTTATAAAAGACTATTCCCATGAATATTTATTACTGTATGAAGATCAACCAATAGATCTGGATACATATTACTGTATGAAGATCAACCAATAGATCTGGATACATATTACTGTATGAAGATCAACTAATAGATCTGGATACATATTACTGTATGAAGATCAATCAGTAGATCTGGATACATATTACTGTATGAAGATCAACCAATAGATCTGGATACATATTACTGTATGAAGATCAACCAATAGATCTGGATACATATTACTGTATGAAGATCAACTAATAGATCTGGATACATTTTACTGTATGAAGATCAATCAGTAGATCTGGATACATATTACTGTATGAAGATCAACTAATAGATCTGGATACATTTTACTGTATGAAGATCAATCAGTAGATCTGGATACATATTACTGTATGAAGATCAACCAGTTGATCTGGATACATATTTCTTCATAAAGTAATATGTATCCAGATCAACTGGTTGATCTTCATGAAGTAATATGTATCCAGATCTACTGGTTGATCTTCATACAGTAATATGTATCCAGATCAACTGGTTGATCTTCATACAGTAATATGTATCCAGATCTACTGATTGATCTTCATACAGTAAAATGTATCCAGATCTATTGGTTGATCTTCATACAGTATCTACTGGTTGATCTTCATACAGTAATATGTATCCAGATCAACTGGTTGATATGTATCCAGTGGTTGATCTTCATAAAGTAATGTTGATCTGGATACATATTACTGTATGAAGATCAACCAATAGATCTGGATACATTTTACTGTATGAAGATCAACCAATAGATCTGGATACATTTTACTGTATGAAGATCAACCAATAGATCTGGATACATATTACTGTTTTTGATTTGTAAAAAGTTACTTTTTTTACACGGCTTTGTTTGTTAGTAAGAACAGATGTATAAAGTACAGGGTTTAACGTATATAACCAAAACGTTGAATTTGATAAAAATTACAATTTTTTCAGTTTCCATTATTTACGATAACATGAAGTTCATATAAGTAATGAAAAGTGAAAATCTTAGTTTATACCAAAAAAAAAAACTAGTGTTACTGTATAATTCTAAGTGAATTAAACAATACAAGCAATCATTTTCTTTCTGGCATGGCCTGGTAGTTAGAGTGTTTATGATTAGTTTCCTTTCATTTCAAAACCACCAGTGGGCAATGCTTTTGTATATCTTTATAAACAAACAAGCAAAGAAACTTTTAAATGTGGAAGTTATTGAGAATAAATTAAAAATGTTTCACTTATCTCTAGTTTGATGTCGCTTGTATTTTATGTCAAGTGGAATATGGGTGCCTGTTTGAAGCCTTTAGATAAAACCTGTTTTTATTGTTCTGTCCTTTTCTAATTATATATTTTTTCAAACTCGGATGTTTCTTATTGTGAACATTATAGCTTGAAGTACCTTTTGTTTACAGATATGCAGTTTTCCAGTTTTCACACGATCAGGAGAAGTTCTTGTAGAACTGGAGTGCATTAACTCGGATTTAAAGTTTTCAGAAGAAGAACTGGATAATTTAGCTTTCTTCCACAATTATACGTTTTCCAATGTTCTTCGTCTTGACAAGTATCCCATGGTGTTTCAACCTAAGGAAGCCGATGCTTCGTTTTACATCATCCCAGTGAACAAAGGTAAAAACAAGTGGTTTGTGAAAAATAGCACTTAATAGAACGGACATGGAGACACTGTATATCAGGTTTAACCTTTATATGCAAGCACTAGGATACGATATGGATTCTCAAGCCACACCTAAACCTACCATTTTTATCCAGTTGTGGTAAGTTATTTGCTTCTAGGCCCGGCATGGCCAGGTGGATAAGGCGCTCGACTCGCAATCTGAGGGTCGCGGGTTCGAATCCCCGTCCCATCAAACATGCTCGCCCTTTCAGCCATGGTGGCGTTGTAATGTGACGGTCAATCCCACTATTCGTTGGTAAAAGAGTAGCCCAAGAGTTGGCAGTGGGTGGTGATGACTAGCTGCCTTCCCTCTAGTCTTACACTGCTAAATTAGGGACGGCTAGCGCAGATAGCCCTCGTGTAGCTTTGCGCGAAATTCAAAAACAAACAAAGTTATTTGCTTCTACCAAAATAGAATTATAAATATTAAAGCAGATTACTACAACTGGAAAACTGGAGGATAAGTAAAACAAATCTCCTGAGATTTGCATTCCATATAACTACATGAACAGTGTAATAATGATGTTAAGCTCTGTAAATAGGAAATTAAAATTTTAATGGAAAGTAGGGATCGTTGGTTATTTGTAGAATTGCTATAAAAAGTATCTAC